GGGGGGGGGGGTTGTTGTTTTAGTAAGCATTTTACGGCACTTGTAACACAATAAGGTCATATAAGTGCCAAAGATTAAAGGTGTTACAAGAGAATTAAAAAAAAAAAAACACACATAAAAAAGAAGGAGGAGAGATAAGGACGATAGTTGTTTGATAGGAAAGAACGAGCAAACCACACCAGAGCACCCTCCAACCACCCACTTAACAAGTTTGATTGTTCAACATGTCGGCCAACAACTTGAGCAGTCGCACAGTGACAAGCCTCGGCTCATCCCATGTTGTGTCCTTGGGAAAGGCACTTCGCTACCTTTACTGAGAGCATGGGGTCAAACATCAAAACTTTTATCTGTTCTATCAAAATCGTAAGATTATTTCATAGACGTTTTCAAGATATTCAAATAACTGCATTAGTAAAAAGCTTGACAAAATGTGAAGAAACTTGCATTTTTCCTCAGGTTTGTGAATTTATATCAAATTTTTGTTTTTTGGCTCAACACATTTCATGGCCGTTAAGGAACTAATTCCAGTCTGGATTTTTCTGAAAAAAAATGATTAAAAGCACACAAAAAATGTAAATTTTCTGTTACCACCGACTCTTAAGCTAAGGAAATAACTAATCTTTGGTAGCTATTTTCTCACTAATTTTATCTCTAAAAACAGGTGACCCCCACTTTCTTCATTCATAAATATCTCTGCTTGTATTCAAGATAAATAGATATTTTTTTCTACCAAGTAAAGACCATTAAACAAGCTTTAAGATGATACCAATAACTCAATACGCCCAAAAATTGACGAGAGCCTGATTCCACCACGCTGGGTAGTGAGATTTTAAGCTGCTCCTTTACCTCTGTAAAGATCTATTCTAAGCCGTAGATTGACTCGGTATCGAGATATTAACGTTTCTTTTTTTCACTTCACTATGTTATAGAGATTTCAATAAATTAATATCGTCAAAATTTCAATTTCGTTTTTTTCGAAACTGTGAACAGTGGTTATAATCTAATCACTTCTTGCGCTAAGCCGACAAAATGTTTCAACAAAAATTCACGACCTTTTCAAGCGCATTACAGCTACAATTTTGGCTAGCTATTACAGTTGTTTTTTTGTTCACGGTCATTGCTGCTGCGTAGTCTGTCATTTGGAGGGAAAGGGGAGGAGAAAGAGAGAGCGAGCGAGCGAGGGAGAGGAGAGGGGGAGGGAGAGGAGAGAGGGAGGGAGAGGAGAGGGGGAGGGAGAAGAGAGAGAGAGAGAGAGAGAGAGAGAGAGAGAGAGAGAGAGGGGGGGGGAGAGACAGAGAAGGGTGGAGAGTGAGGAAGAGGAAAAAAGACAGAGAATGACAGAGGGCGTTAAGATAACAATATTTCGACCACATACCAGGGCATCAGATTTATAACTTAAACAGGAACAAATCTAAAGGTTACA